GGCCCAGGTGCCAGGGCCAGGCTGCATCGGGGCGCCCCGGCCAGGCACAGCGGAGGGTGGGCGCAGGGGTGCGGCTGGGACCCGGCCGGGCACTCAGACCACGAAGTGGAGCCCGTACGTCATCTGATGGCCGTTGTCCCAGGCATAGAGCACCTTCTCCTTGGGGTTGTAGTCGACCTGCGTGGTGAAGGCGTACTCGTTGAGGAAGGGCAGCCGGAGCTCTGCCTCCGTGTCCGTGTGCGTGTCGAAGGCGTAGGAGATCTGCCCTTCCTTCTGGCTGTAGGTGTCCACAGCGTAGAGGATGCCACAGATGATGAAGCAGTTCCCGTAGGCGTTGCGCTTCAGCCCTGTCTTCCAGGTGGTCTCCCTGCGCACCGAGAGGTCCCCGGGGTCGAGTCGGCTCAGGACGATCACCTCCTGCTGCGAGTAGTCACAGTCCATGGAGGGGTAGATGACCCAGAGCCCGCTCTCGTCCACGGCAAAGTCGATGTCCGAGTGGCCCCTCCACTTCCAGGGCGTCGTGTCCTCATACACCACGTCGTGGAGCAGCGCCCAGCCCGCCACGTACCGCTCCTTCAGGTCGTATTTGATGATGTTCTTGGTGAAGGCGCGGTTGTAGTAAAAGGCCCCCCGGTACACCACGTGCCCGGTGCCGATCCAGTTGTAGGGCAGCTTGTAGAGGTTGCTCCAGCGGCCTGTGAGCGGGCGGGAGAGTCATTGGGACCCCTCGCAGCACTGGGGTCCTATGCATGATGGCCCTAGCATGCTGGCAGCGGCAGGGGACTTGTGTCCCCCTCGCTGCCCCATGGGTGCTCCCCAGCGCAGGTCCCCATCAGCTGCCCACCACCCCAGGGCCCGGAACAGCCGGTGCTGCACAGTGCTGGGCACCCACCCAGGAGGAGCCGAGGCCCCTGCGCCCCCTCAGCCACCAGCCCTCACCCTGCTTGAAGTTGTCGAGGCTCCTGAACTCCACCAGGCTGTTGCCGTAGTAGTAGTTGGTGACGTAGATGCGGTCATCCTTGGCCGCTGGGTCCTTCATCCAGGCCCCCTCGTTGCGCCCGTAGCTGTGGTGCTCCGTGGGGGGCTCCACCGACTTGATGGTGCCTTCGCACTCCACCTCCTTCACTGGGTACCGAGGAGGAGGAGGAGGAAGGCTTACCCCTGCCCCAGGCAGCCTGCCCCCGCCAGGGCTGGGAAGCCCTTTGCCGTGGCAGGGCTACTGCTGGTCCAGCCTGGCCACGGGCGGTGGAGCCACCGGGGCGGGTGCCCCCTCCCAGCGCCCCTGCTCACCCACCTCTGTTTGGCGTTTCAGGGCCCCCGGTGCTGTCAGCCCCCTGCCCGAGGACGGTGGCGGGGGGGGTGGTGGTGGT